CCACAGCCACCAGCCGGCAGTTCTAAGCGGCAGCTAACCTGCCCTCTCTACAAACGTTTTGCTAGTAACTCGCCTGCGCTGTTCATTAGACGGGAGTCGGAGGTGCGAAGAATCCCTGACCACAGAGCTTCGATGTTTTTGTTCTTCGGGCAGCCCAAATGGCACAAAGAGGTGGCGAGTCGCAAACTTTAGAATAAGATTTTTCAAATATGCCTGTCTTTCAGAGCAAGCAAGCTGTGCTTGTACAAACAGGACACAGTTAGCTGTCCTACCTGAAGAAGCCCACTCACCAGCCACTGCTAACCTGTGGAGCTCCCTCTGCAATGAGCTAACCTGCTCCTTTCCTCTGCTACAGGCAAATTACATCTTTAAAGGTTACACACAAGGATTAACTGGGTTTTAATTTGCACGACATGTAGCTTTGTGCAAAACATGGAGTGCAAAAACTGCACTGAAACCAGCACCAAATTGAACATCTGCACTCACCTGGCTATCTACAAGACTTACTGTGAGTGAACATTTCGACACCATCCCAAACCAAAAATCTTTATCCAGGTAACACTAAAGTACATATCCTTCATGTTTCCAGAACAGGCTTTTGCTCTCCAATAGAATTAATGAGGGACTGTAATTTTCCTCTTAGTTCACATCAAGAAAATTCTTACCACAGTTTAAAGTAAGGTTCACAGGTTTGTTCTGTTTCACAATTAATTGTGGTTCGTTTTTTTTCTTAACGCCATCTCTGTGAAACTCAATAAAAGCCATGAACCAACGTTAAAGTAAGTTTCTTCACTCTAGGTTTCCCATAGCAGAGTCTTGGGCATCTAATTTTGTTAAAATAATTTATTTCAGGTAGCTCAGCAGAAAACCATCTCAATCTGAGTGCCCCCAGAGAGGGACCTCCAAGGAAGAAATCTCTGGGCAACTATACCCTTACAGTCCAAGCTCCCGTCCCCTCACAGTAGTTCGGTCCAATGGTAATATATGAATCCAAGGTCTTCTTGCTCCTCATTGGATCCTTTCTCTGTCTCCAGGCTGGTAGTGCCTTTTCTTATCTCAAGGATGCAGCTTCTGCTGACAAATGGGGCCACCTTGTCTTTCACAGGATGCAGTGGTCTCCAGGCCCCCCTTCTAACTAAGTCTAAGTTCAGTGCAAGTTCACCGCTTGTGGCCAAAGGCTTCAGTAAACCTAGATACTCATGCTAAGGAAAGCAAAACAAGATTCAATTCAACCTAATTTAAGATATCACCCAAATAAATTCTAATCATATGCATGTAAACTATTTTAATCCTCAGGAACCCAGTACTTTTAAGACATTGCCTGCCTTTGTCTCACTCGTGTTCATATATTTTTCTTTCAGGACTTTAACAAAATAAAAGGGATGCCTACAAAAATGACGTACATGGATTTCTGACTTCTGGGAATAGGTGAGTCAAAAGTATTGAGGGAATACATGTCATTCACTTCAGTTGAGAGAAGCAATAACAACTACTAGGTCAACTGTTTAACTGTCTACTGATACTTCTTAGCCCTTTGTCACAGCCTGTCTTTGAGCGAACTCAAAATGCAGCTCTGTTTTAGGAGATACCATAACACACACAAACCAAAACAAAAACACCCCCTCAAAATTTCCCATCTCTTTAGCCATGTTTCTAAACTATTACATTGCTGGAATTCTCTTTTTGAGGGGAAGTGTAGGTATTCGTCAGCATAATCTGTAACTTAAGCTGCATCCTTTCATCTTCAAAATGTACTAAAGTTTGTGAATACAAGAGAAAACATCCATAACAGGATTCTGAATGCATAAATTCCTTTATTGAAAATATTGTGATAGCACTGCATTACATATATTCAACATTCATAGTTTCAAGGGTCACAGAAGTTTGACTGGACAACACTGTTTTGAATATAGATCACAGCGTTTAGATATGCTCTGACAAGGATAATATAATGGAGTAAGTTGTAGGTAGCAACAGTGGAATGTATGTAAAATGTTGAAACTTGGTTGGTTTGTTTTGTTGTTGTATTTTATTTTTTTTTTTAATATTAAGTGGTCTGCCACCATTTAAATGAGCAAACAGTATTAGGTATTCCTGGTATCTTCAAAACATTATGCTGTTAGCAATTTCCAAACTATTTTACAGCATTACCAGTAAGAACTTTGTTCATGGCTACTGCAGACCACACAGAAGGGGAGTGTGAAAAGCTCATGTGTGGCGTGTTACAGGCTTACTGTATATAGCATTGGTTTTTAGACTGTGAAATTTCTGTGCAGGATTAAAATTTAGCAATGATTTTGAAAAAAAAAAAAACAAACAACACTTGGCTTTTTTTTTTTTTTAATCTATTGGAAACAGGAAGAGCAGTAACTAATTGAGCTGTATTACTAAAGTTAATAGTATTCCAAAATTAGCCTGTACTGTTTTAATGCGTGGAAGCACACTACCATTTCTAAAACCTGCCTGCCTTAGGACAATGACACATTCCAGCCTAAGGGCAGGACAGCGTCCTAACGTGGGTCAGGTTTGGATTGTGTAAACGAAACCACAGCTTGATGGGCAAGCAGGATTCTTTAGCAAACAGCACAGGCTGCCAGTCCTCTGTCACACTCTATTTACCCAAATTCGTCATTTTGCAACGTGGAGCCTTTTCAGCATTGGGCAAGGAAAGGGGCAACTACCTGATTATTTCATGAAAAACAAAGGAAGAGTATTTAGTTGCCTGTCAAACCCTAAAGCAGCCTGTTGCTTCAAGTCTTTTTCGGGAAGGAAGTCATATATATAATTACTACGAAAACAAGTATTATACTAACATGACCTGGCCTGTTAAGGAATCAGTACACTTCTCTAAATCCTGATTGTATTTTCTCCTTAACAAAGCAGTTACTTTTAAATTGGTAGAGAAGTGCTCATAAAAGCATAGCGAGTGGCTTATTTTGCATCGTTTGGTGGCGACACAGAAAGAAAATCCCCTCTCAGAAACGTCCTTCATGAGCAGCCAAATACTACTCAGGCAGATGCTCAGAGCATGTTGAACCAATTCTGTTGACTGCTATAGAGCTGATACAGTCTATACCAGGTGGCACTTTGCCCAGTATCTCCATACACTGCCAAAATAATAATCAATTAACAGGAATGTGGCAGTACAGTTAAGAAGCACTACCCACCTTCTCCCTGATCTCGGAGAAAAGCAAACATAACAAAACAACAGAATTATGCACTCAAGTGTTTCTGCCAGAAATAAACCCTCTAATTAGGGTAAAATGAAAACCAAATCTCATTTATGAAATAAAAATATAAAAATTAACTTCAGAAATCAAATAAATTGATTCAGAGTAAATGCAAATGCACAAGAAACATACCTGGATAGTAATTTCTTTATCAAACTGAGATTTCAAACACCAAAAGAAAAGAACTCATAACTAACACATTTCAAAAAAAAAAAAAATCTTCTATACAATAACAATAAATAAAAAGATTTAAAAAACATATTCCCTTAAGTGCTGTGCACACTTATATCTGATTCTTTTCCATGGCAAACAGTATGCTGTAGAGATTTTGGTAAAGTAACCTTTTATTTTTGGTTAGCATTTGTACATAGAACATAAATACACATGGAATGTACTAGATAGTTACAGTTTTCCCACAGGATCTTTTTCACAGTTACAGAAAAAGTTTTCAACTTGCATACCATGGATGTTTTCATAAGCATCACATCTTCAACAGGCTAGTGTTGGAAGAGGAAGTAAAAAACCACTTCAGAGTGATCTCTTACTGCGTCCCAAAACCAGCTCTCTGCTTTGTCTTGGGTTGGTCGGTTGGCTTTTTTGCGTAGTCATGCTCTGGTACAAACTTGAGGAAAAAGCATGTAATGTTGTGAGGCAGCCTGCACCTTCTAGTTAGCTTTCAAGTGCCTAATGGATCCAATCCTTAAGGCAGTCAGTATTTCATTCAAATGTCCATACTTCTACATCTTGTATTATGAAATCTTCTTTCTTAGATAAGATGTCATTATTGAAGGTGCTGCAGGAGTTGCTTCTCCCGTGATACAAATCTGCATCCAACCATAAGCCAAACCGGCCACTGGAAAGGAAATACCCAACACAGCTTTGGTTAGATTCAACAGTAAAAATACTGGAAGCTGTAGGAACAGCCAGAGAAGTTGTACAGAGGAATCTAGGTCGTTCCGAGGACCTCTTGGACTACATGTGAAGAGCTCAATCCTGGCAAAGTGCTTGCCACGAAGCCCACGGAGCAGTCCCCTCGCTTTCACTGGCACCAGCGAGCCAGGCAGAGGCAAGACCAAGCATGCACCTGTGGTGACCCCAGATGCTGGGGTCCCTTCCCTGGCTATTTGGCTGTGGGCAGAGCCCCTTCTCGTTCAGGAGGAGGACGAGGGGTGTTTATACACTCCTAATGCAAACCATGCCCAGATGTCCCATGCAGGCAGCTGCAGTTGTTCCTACAGCCTTAGCCCTCGAGTTCATACACGCTGAAACTCAGGGCCTGATGAAGCACTCTCTGTACCGACAGAACAATGACAGCTTAATAAAGACCACATGAGAAACCTTAGAAGATAACAGCAAAACTGCCATTAGAGATTATCTTCCAGTGGCAAACCTCTTCAGCAACGAGACATGTATCTACTTAGAGCATCTGGGGTATTTTAGCCAGAAGAAACCCCAGACCAACAACCCCCATTTGCCTAACATCAGTCACCCTCTTTAAGCAATGGAAATTGGTCTACTTACTGAGTGAGTTCAGCCATTTTACTTGTTAGTTTTTCTTGCAACTACCATTGTTAATATTCTCATTAAAAGAAAATAATTTGCTACATGATTTGAAAATGAAACATTCACTCACCCTCCACCTCCAAGCTCCAGAGAGCTGGTGTCTCCGTTGATGAAGTAGGTGTTCTCTCCACTCCATTTGAACACCTGAGGAGTGGAAAAAGCCCAAACACATTTGGACTGTGAGGATTCTAGTACTCTAAAAACTACTGGAGACTGACTCCTAGCAGGTACTATTTTGTGTTTATTTTTTGTTTGTTTTTCTTGAAGGGGGAAGAGGAAGAAGTAATAGGCAGAAAACAAAGGTACAGAACATATTTAAAACAATGAACAAGGCACCCTAATCCCTTTTAAAATTTTGCTTGCATCTCTAAATCAACAGGCATTCTGTTAAAAAGGAACAATGTGTCCAATACTGAAAAATGCACATGCTGTGAACATTAAGGGGTATTTTAGCAGCATTGTGAACCTAAGTGTGTGTGAAATTATTCCCTATTCTTGGTATTATTGCCTGCCAAGGTGAGTCTTTGACACTCCACTCCTTATTCCTCCCTGCTCCCCACTTCAAACCATTTACAGCCCTCTCTTCACCCTTAGGGACTGCTCTCTCAGCACTTCAGATAATTACAGCCACTTTTGCTTAGAGCATTGCATTGAAGCAATGAATGATTAACTGCATTCATCAACAGCTGGCACATCTTCCAAACTCAAAATATGCTGTCTTCATAGAAATCTTGAAACTGGTTCAGAAGTGGGACCCAAAAATCTTACTTGAGCAAGTGAAAAGCCACCTACCTTGAAATTCGGACTGAATGTGTAGAGGAATGTTTCACCAGTGCCATAGTAATGATCACTGAACCTGAAGGGATGTGTAGCATATGCTCCAAATATCTGTCAGAATAAAATGATTAAACTGCTTTTGAGGATGGTGCAAAATTCAAGAGAAAAAAACCCAAACATTTCAAAACTCTTTCTAAATAAAAAACGAGCTGGTGTTTCATGTTATGTGAACCAGCTAGTATGGTACATCAGATAAGTAAATACCCCTGAAGATCTTTTGTAACCTGCAAGTTAAAAGCCAGATGACAACACTGGCAACAGGAACACCAACTCTAGGAGCTGCTGAAGTACTAGACCTCCACAGTGGCATTATTTGTGACAGCTCGTTAATTGAGACATCTAAGGAAGACTATGTGTACTATCGAAAGGAGCACTCATTACAGTTATGAAGCTGGGTGGGGGCTCGGGGGGAGTGGGAGATTTCTATTAGTTCCGACGCACTTTCCTGCCTCTAAGTTTAGTTTAAGCAGTAGAAAAATGTCTTGTTTTGGTATGATGCCACCTCACAGTATGACTGGCGCTTCACAACGATCGCTTCTTGTAACGATGCCCTTTCAGCCCGGCCCTGCAGCACACGCACTCCTTACCTGGTTGTCCATGTCCTTGACGACAAGGAGAACGGGGCTGTCGAGCGACGCGGATTTGCGGTACAGAGTCTTCAGGCTGGTGCCATGCTCCAGGGTGCTGTAGGCCAGGCACCACGGGTAGCCCTGCACGCGCGCGGGCAGGCGCCGGGCAAGCTGGGCAACAGAGAAGGGCAAGCGGTTACGCCTTCAACAGGCCGGGTCACGCCTGCCACCCCACGCTACCCCCTGCCCGCAGGGGCTTCTGAGCCAAAAAATGCCTGTCGAGGGAGCAGCTGATGGCAGCAGCTTAAAATCTCTTGCCTCACGCATGTGCCCTTATACTGTGAGCCCAAATGCCTGTGCGAGAGGTTTCAAAACTGGTACCTCCCCCCTCCAAACACTGGAAGAGCTGCCAGTCCCCAGTGTCACAACTCAAACTCCAGAGCTGCAAAACAAAAATAAGCTTTCCAGGTGCCAGCGCTGCAGCAAACAGGAGCTTGCATAAGGACAGTCCAACACTCTAAATACTTTCCAAACTCTTAAAAAGCATTGGTGTTGCTCCCAGAAGGCAGAACACCCCACACTCGGCAGAGACAGCTCCACAGCTAAGGAAACTGGAAGCTTTTCTAGCCATACCTGCTCGATGTGCATGTTCTCCAGGAGAGCGCTGTGATGCTTTAAGACAGGCAAAGTATCACCTTCTTCTTCTTCTTCATAGTAACTGCAAACACTCT